CTCTTTGGTGGGGATAATGGGTAGTGAGTATCCTTACAAATCTTTGCTAAACTTTCCTGCAGTTGTATTCAGTGACCCTACGCTGGCAATGTGGAACGTGCTCACCCTGCCTTAGAAACTGTCAGGCCCACTTGGCATTCACACTTCAGGCAATTAAGTTTGCTATTACAGGATTTCTTGTGGTTCGATGTGTTCTTCATCAGCAAGTAACGAGGTTTAGCCTTATTTCCTGTATTTTTTGGTGACTTAGTAAGTTTCCTTTTCTGTAAAGTCGCCCTAATCATCAAAATGCACCTTGGGTGTGCTGTTTGTGCAGGTAGAAACAGACCTGAAGGGGTGTGGTCTGTTGGTGCTAATGTGTACACTCACTTAAGAATAATACAAAGCCCTGGTAACTCAGAGGATCACCAAGAGAGTCAGGAAGGACAGACGTCAGAGCAAGAGAAGGGAGCTGGGTGGTAGGGAGGGCCAGGCAATGCTGGTCCTCTCTTCAGACGGAGGTGATGGTGCAGGGTCTGTCTCCAGCGGGGTAGGAGTTAGGAAGATTGATACTTACCAAGCCAGGTGAGAGAGGAGGCGCCTATCTGAAATGGTTGGGACAGGCTTTCCAGTGAATCCCTGCATCTGGACATTTGTCAAGCTTAGAAAAGACCGCCAAAGCTTACTAATTATGACATGTCTATTTTTAAAAATGATGAGGAAACAGTGTTTTATCAAAATAGCATGCTTTCAAAGGTAAGTGTGGGTATGTGTTATTTTTTAATTAAGTTGTTAATAGAAGGAATGAATAGTCCACCTTTGAGAGTAATAACAACATTTTAAAATGTAGTGTAAAGAAGATGATGGGTATAGGATGCTTTCCTGGTAATGGGGAGAGACAGCAGGAGGGTGCAGCTCTCTGGGCAGAAGGCATAACCTCCCTGCTCAGTAGATATTCCCAAATAGGTAATTGCTCTAACTGTTCCTCCGAGGAAGAACTATCTATTACTAACTATCCGTTAATCACATAATTAAAATTCAACAACCCACTAATCCTTTAGCTTCACTTTATCTATAAAGGCCTGGCAGAACCCTGCTGTGGGCTTCTTCGGGTGGTCACGTCACTAGCGGGAGATGTTTAGGGTTCTTGCTCCAGCCTGGGCTCTGCGCCGACCCCTCATGGATGGAGAGCTGTCGCAGGGTCCCATCATGTGCTGTGCCTCGTCCCTTCCCTCTCCTGGCAGCTCATCAGAGTTGACCAGGTCGGACAGTGGGCCCAGAGACACTGCACATTTGAGACAATGGCTGCTGAGACAGAGGACAGGACACCTCCCAGTCTGTGAAGATACTGGCTCCAGGTCTGGCCATAGGACCAGAGGGCCATAGGTTTGGCTCTTGAGACCCACACTTTCATTTGGGAGCCATGTAAATCACCGTGAAGATTCTCCCAGTGCCACGCTGCCTCGCAGGAGGACAGGGTTTATGTGTGACCACAGCCTGCACTTAGCTCCGCACAGCCTTGAACACTGTCTTCTCCCTTAAGGGGGCTGCTGAGAATGAGGATCGTTTTCAGTTTTGCCTGCCACTATTTTGCTGCTTGGAACGACTCAGATCGCTGATATCTGGTGGATACTGCCCGTGGAGGCTGAGCATAGTGGGGAGGTGGTGAACCGCCTGTCTCCACAGCGAATCTCACAAAGCGGTGTGGCTGGCGTTCTTGAGGGTGGAGGCTGGTCTGCTCCCTGCCAAGTCCCCTTTGCTGGGCCATTCGGGTGGGACGCCTGGTGGTATCTGTGCTGGGCCAGTCAGTGGCTCATTTCTCACCCACCCAGGACCTCCCCACCCACTGATCCTTCACTCACGCCTCCACCACGGCATGTGTGGTTTTGTGTTGTTGTACCCTTCTAGATGCATAGGTTTTAAAAATAAATGCTTCACAGGCAGGGAGGAGCAGAAACAAGTGTCACATGTGGGGCCCTCACATCCCCAAAGAACCTCAGGGCTGCAGGCACACAGGTCTGCCATCTGTCGCTGTGTGACGGAGAGGTGGCAGCATGTGTGACATCCTTACAGGTGCCCAGCCAGAGAATCCATGGAGTCCGGGGAATGGAAGGCACAGTCAGTTGAGGTGTATCCCTCGGCCACTGCCAGGCATGGTTGTGTCCCCTGTGGGCAGATCCCAGGAGCAGCCTGTGTGCTGCGCCCAGTGCCCCTGGCAGCTCTGTCTTTCCAAGACCTTTCTGTTGACCCCAGACAGTCCCGAGTGAAGAACAAGGCCCTTCCCAAGCATGTCTTTCAGCCGGACTTGGAGGTGATTCAGACCAGGGCCTGTGTTCCTGCTGTAGCCTGACCTTAGTGCAAGAAAGGTGGTGCAGCAAAGAAGCCTGGATTTGGCTGCACTTGGAACCCACTGGCTTCTCCAGGGACCGCCGGGAGCAGCTCCCCTCTGCCCTGTAGGGTCCCCAGGAATGGACTCCACAGCAGTGGATTTGGCATGGTTTGCAGTGAGTGCAAGAGAAGCTTGGTGCCTGCCCCTGGATTGAGAAGCTGCAGGTGCAGCCACAAAGGCAGGTGTGGGGAAGGGTTAGTTGTGAAGAGGGGAGGTTGGTCAGTCTTTCAAAGTGAGGACCATTCTCGTGGCGAAGAAGGGCCGAGGGAGCTTTAAAGACGTGGCAGGGGGAGGTTCTGCAAGGTGGGCTTGCCTGTTGTGTGCTGTGAGGTTTCTCGGGGAGCACTCACGCAGTCTGTGAAGCTCCCAGTCCCCCAGCCCTGTGTCCATCCTGCATGCATCACAGGCTGGCACATTTACCCAGGTGGGCAGTGGGTAGCTGGGAACCACTGCTGATGGCCACAGTACTTCCCAGTGCTGGGTCTCTCTGCCCTTGGCATCTCTTTGCCTGCATTTCCTGTTGTCACTTGTTCATTGCCACCTCCAGGAAATGATCCTCCTCATGAGGACCATTACACAAGAATTGGCTCATGGTCATCTACGGCATAGGCTCCCCAACCTATTTGGTCTACTCCCATCTTTCAGACAAAAACCCTCTGGCAGTTAAAAACGTTTATACTGTAGCCAGTGCAGAGTGCAGGTGTCTGGATTGGGTGGCTTGGTGTCTATGCAGATGTAGGGTAAGTAGCCCCAGTCCCGCCCGACAGCTCCGGGCTGACCCAGGGCCTTATTTATGCCTGGGTCCTCCTCTTTCAGCTGCTTCTCCAAGTCCAGCAGCTGAGCATGCTCAGGTGCCACGCTCCTGCGACGCAGGCTGCCGCAGTGCTTCTCGCTCGCCTGGTTCTGTCATCCCGGGACAGGCACTAAGCTTTTGTGTAACATTTTTATTACGTATGAATAACAGGGCACATGCTGAGGTCCCGTGGATGTAATTTTGTACAATGTACATCACGGTCGATTTAAAAATGAGGGATTTACTTTGTCATTCATAAAGTTGTGGTGCGTCTGGAGAAACTATTTGTTAAAAGATAGCATCTACTTAACCTCCTTATTTATTTCTTGCTGGAGAAGGTTAGATCCACAATAAATACATGAGGAAATAAGTAGATAGGGGAATTTATCCTGGAAATAAGATCCCTGTCATGGCTGTGAAATGTTAAATGCATGAAGACCCGTCAAAGAGATATACGGACACGTTATTTTTTTTTTAACAGTGCATTGGGAGGTATTTAGCTATATTTGTCATTCTCTACCCCAGTAAGGCATGATCCGATGATAGAGTAATTTGAAAGCCAGCTTTCTGGCATTGGGTTGTGTACAGTGCCTCAGCACACGTGTCACAGAGGTATATTCATTGGCAGCTTTAACATCGATGAGGTGCTTTTCCCCATTTCATGGCATCTTTGAAAACTTTCATGATTTTAACTTACATAAATTTTAGTCTGTAAAATACTTGTGTGATAGAAGGAAAAGGGGATTTTATTGTAGAAGGCAGTTTTGTAATGTGATTGCTAAGAATTCACAAGGCTGTTCGGACAGTGCCCCTCGGTGGGATGGCGGTGCTAGGGTTTGGGGCTCCTGGCTGTGCCCGCTCGGGGTGGCCCTCACCCCCATCTCCTTCTCCCACTGGGCTGTCCTGATGCCACACCCACCTCCCGGAGGCCACACCTTATCTATAGCATCTTTGCTGTCGATACTGGGGCTCAGCTTGTGTCTGTTTCTTACCGTGAATGATCCAGACCCTGACTGAGTTTATTAGTCACCAGGCTGACAGAAAGTGAAATTGTGTGGGCAAGCCCGTCCCAACAATCCGTTCCTGGATCGGAGGGAAAGGGGCAGGAGCTGAGCCGAGGGTACCGGGCAGGGTCTTCTGTGATTGGTTTCCATCACCTGTCCTCTTCAAGGTCCTCACTGCTTCAACTGCAGGCTGCTGGCTGAAACAGCGCTTCATTTGAGGCCTGCTTTTTGTTCTCAGTGATTCTCACACCGGAAGTAGTTAGACCCCTTTCCTCAGAATGACCCTCTTTAAAAGTAGTCAGCCATCGTGTCCATCTTCTTGTCTCAGGACACTTCTCTTGGCTGCGTCTTCAGGGAGGGGGCCCAGGGGGCCCCCGTCTAGGGGTTCTGGCTGGGGGGGCCTGGGGGTGCTGCTGAGGCCCCGAGCCGCGGCTCCGGCTGACCTGAGCATGGCGGCCGCAGTAGCTGGCGAGCCAGGGGGCTGTCTGAGTAGTTTAGTATAGATAGCTTTTCATTTAGCCTTTGCAATGACAGCCCTGCCCTGGATAAGTGGTGTAGGTCTGTACAGGTGAAATCTATTCTCACATTTGCCTCAGGGGTGACTGGACTGTAACAGAATTTTTCAAACCCGTTGGGCCCAACCGCAAAGCAGAGAATAAATGGTTCAAGTGCCAGGCCACGACAGAAAAATCAATGCCTGGTTATACAGACATGACAGACCGGCTCTGCTGTTCTCCCGCAAAGCCAGGCCTCCGGTGGCGGCTGCCATGCGCTTGGCTCGGCAGCAGGGCCCGCGAGCAGTGTTGACCCTCTCCTTCTCCTTCCTTCCACGCAGGAGATTCACGTGCCGCCTCTGCGACCGGAGCTTCACCGAGAAGTGGGCCCTCAACAACCACATGAAGCTGCACACGGGCGAGAAGCCCTTCAAGTGCACCTGGCCCACCTGCCACTACTCCTTCCTCACAGCCTCCGCCATGAAGGACCACTACCGCACCCACACAGGTCGCGCCCGCACCCCTGCTGCTTCCCCAGCATGCCTTCAGAAAGGGGCCCTCTGCCCCAACAGACGCACTGTCAGTCCATTTCCCCCAAGCTCACTCGGGTGCACGTCTGCGAGCTCGCACATGTCGGGACGAACATGTTCACTTCCTGCTCACCTGCTCTGTGTCTGCATGCTTAGGTGTTTGCATAAAGCGCACTTCGGCTTTCAAAGCTCCTGTGCAGAAACAACGTTTGCACAGTGTTGTTGAGTGCTTATCTGACTTACAGTGACCACCCTCTGTGCTGTGGGACGAAAGCCTGCCCAGCCCTGTGCGGACCTTATAGTTGTCCTTACCTCTGAGCCCATTGCTGTTGCCACTGTGCCAAACCTTCTGGTTGAGGGTCCCTCTCGTAGTCTCAGGCCCTTTACTTCACCAAGCCTGCTGTCTCAGAATGGTACTAATATGAATGCAGTGATCTAATTTTAAAAGGTATTATACATTATAAGAGTCCAAATCCACATCCAGTTTGCATCAAAACTTTAAAAAATATGTGGACGTTAAAGGAGCCCCTTTAAAGGTTTGGCCATCAAGAACCCAGATCCCACGAACTCGTGAGAGTCCATGTTCAGAGAGCTTCCCCTGGCCTGGCCCGGTGGCCTCCGAGCTTCCGATGCACTTGCCCCAGAACCCTGGTTTCCCACCCTCCACACGCTGCTGTGAGCCACTCGGTCTTCCTGGAAGTGTTGTGTTTCCGACGACAAAAATTAATCAGCATTCCCAAATGTTCTTCTGATTGCCAAGCGTCCTACATTGTTGTTAAAAATTATAGGTGAAAAGTTCCCCTGAAACAGTTTGTGGGGCGTACAGGCCTCCTTAGCCTCTTTGACAAGGGTGTTGACGATTTAAGGTCTCCAGCCTGCCCTGAGAGATCACTTATATCGAACAGCAGATGAAAAGCCAGTGCAGATGTAATTTATCGTCGGCGTTTCCTTCTGAAGAATAATTGTGGAGACTTGGCCAGATCAATAATATGGATTTTTGTTGTTAGGTCTTGTAGTCTGCACCATAATGAGAGAGGGGACAGTGGCTGTTTTCTAATAGAAAATAAAGGATTGGTTTCCCGTGTCTTTGTGCATTTGAATGCAAAATGGCACCCTTGAAAGGAATTCAGATTGTAAAGAAAAGGAGTGTCTCCCATCATCTTACTGCCATCATGGAAATCTGATGTGTTGAGTGGCCCTTGACATTACCTGCAGCAGGGAGGCATGGGCTGAGTTTCTTTTTTAAAGTTTCCCCCCCCTTCAAAAATATTCATAACCAATTTTCCCGTTGCCCAACCCTCATTCCCCTCCCACCTTCAGGGAAGGAAAGGGGAGACAAGAAAAAAACCCCGTCCACCTCAACACCACCACCAACAAAAAAGAGCAAGTGAAAATTGAATTTAGATTGAAAAACAAATCAAGTTACCAAGGCAAGTATGACATACAGTCCGGTGGAGACTTGTGTCCTGAATACAATCTTACATGCCCAGGTGCCCAGGTCACTAACGTGTCTCGGTTCAAATCACATGTAAAATGAGTGATTTGTCCTTGGCCTTATATACATTTCAAAGCAGGGAGAGGATAGGAAGTTTTTTTGCATGTGGAGCATGTGTGCATGAGGACTTTCCTGTGGTGGTTCCTGCTTTTACAGGGAAGATGTAGGTCATGGGGAAGTTCAGCACAGAGAGAAAGGAAGCATCCTTTTTATTGAGTTTAGCGGTCAGAGGCATCCTCTCTCACATTAGACATATCGCCAGATCTGTGATGAGCTCAACACTCCCTATATGACCCCGACCCTCCGCAAGCCCACGTCTGCCCCACATCACCACGGCAGTGAGACATTTGCGGGACACTAAAGAAAAGAGTCAGGCACAACGTGCAATATTGAAGGATTCTGTGGACCACATACAGGACAAAGGAGGAAGGGGCAAAAGAAGATTCCGTGGACTTTCAGGGTTGCTGTACCAAAAGGAGTTGGCCAGCATTCAGTCATGTCAAGGGAATAGTGAGCGAATGGTCAACTCTGCCATGCTGTGAACACACACTGACGGCACCGGTGAAACCCGAGCTCCCAGCCATGGAAGGAAGAGCAGCGGAGAGGTTTTGGCGAACAGAAGCACTCGTCCGTGCCCAGAAATTTGACGACAGCTACCTAGCCAACCCACTGGAAGAGACCCATATTTGTATACCTTTCAAAGAAAGGCAGACGGTAGAGTGCAGAAATTGTCAAAAAGTATCTATCATTAATACCACATGCAAGTGACATGTTGCTGAAGATATTTCACAAGATTGTAGCAGTACATTGATAGGGAACTGTCGGTCAGAAATTCAGGCTGGACTGAGAAGAATGAGTTATTGGAGGACTATCATTGCTGAGGTCAGATGGACATTGGCTGAAAGCAGAGCATACCAGAATGTGTTTATATGTGTATTATTGTCTCTGCAAAGGTATTTATGTGGATCACGATGGGAATACCAGAAAACTAAGCTATGCTCATGTGGAACCTGTATGTAGACTGTAGGTGTGCTGCGTGGTTTAGAATCCGCAAGTGTGTGCATCAGGCTTGTCTCTTACACCTTCTTTACTCGGTACTGTGCCGAGTCCTATCTGAGGAAGAACACAGCTCAGGATTAGAGGAAGGCTTGTCAACGAACGACCTGCTAGAGGCGGATTGTTGAATGTGAGGAGGACTTGAAGCACATACTGATAAAAACCAAGAACTGCAGTCTTCATTATGATCACACCCCAGCTTAAAGAGAGCAAAAGTCCTCACGATTGGACCGATAAGTAACGTAGAAATTGCCAGTTAGTTCATTTTACCTGAATCCATTGTCAACACAGCAGAAGAAAAATATAATCACCTGTAGTTTCTGGAACATGTGCGTGTGCACACGCTAAAAACTCTACTTTGTAGCGTTATTTAATTGATAATAACAAAGATTTACCGTGTATACTTGAGAATAAGCCTACCTGAATATCAGCTGAGGCACCTAATTTTACCACAAAAACGGCATTAAAAATGTGCTGAAAAACTCAGCTTATACTCGAGTATTGAAAACTGATTGAATAATTGTAATTAAACTTTGGTCTTCACAGCCCATCTACTTTAGTCTTTGTTTCTACATCAAAATAGTAGCATGAAAGAATACACTTAATGACTTATTGTCCCCTGGTCCCCCCTCCCCTCAGGAAAGTACTATTTTTATTTTAAATGAAGATAATAAACACTTTTAACATACCATTAGAAAAGTATATCCAACATAATTTGGTTAAAACTTTCATTAATATTTTTTTCATTTAAATTAGGAAAGTTGGTAATTCTTTTTTATAAGGGGGGGTGACTTTTTGATCACGCAAGTTGTTCTTCAAAGCTCTCTAGATTCGCCATTTACCTTAAGAAACAAAGTACATTGACAAACCGCCTCCAGCTGCTTCTCTGCCCGAGCCACCAGAGCATTTAGAACCAGCCCGCTGACAGGAGCGAGGCCCTGGACAGACTTGTTGCATTGCCTGTCTAAATTAGTGAAGTAGACCAAGGTAGATGCAGATGATTTATTCCTGGAACAACATTTTGTAATTTCACTGAATCTCTCCAAGGTTAGTGTTTTTATTCTGTGTGGCCCATCTTCCCGGGCCTTTGGAGATGAGACCGCCTCGCTTGCCAGCACTTACCGCCTGAATATGCGGCAGTGCAAAGATATATTGCATTTATAAACTGCAGGGCAAAATGTTAGCTCAGATGAAAGTGCTGTGCTAAAAATGAGCATTTACACACTCTTCACAAACACTGTGTCTGCCAAATCCATCTCTAATTGTAGCAGCGTTTTTCATTCAAGAGCTATCATTAAAGATGAATAATACACATTCTCCCCCGCCCTGCCATTTCTTGAGCAATCCCCAGACATGAAAGTTTTGAGAAACATAAACAGCACTGAATTGTTATTGGTACTGAGTGATGTGGGTTTTATTGTTACTGGGGAGCCATGGAATGTTCAAGGAGACATTTAATTCATATTATTAAGTAGGAAGTTATTAAAGAAGACCCTGACAGAAGCAGGTAAAACCCATTCAATATCCTCAAGTTGTTAGAAAATTCAATATGTTTTATTCAGGCAGAATCGTATATGCCGTATATTAACTATTGCGAGTAATCGGTACTCAGCTCAGAGAGGCCAGATGTATGGGAATTGTAAAAAATCAGGATATGCATAAAAACTGTTCAAGTGCATCAAGCAGCCCCATCTGGAAGACATCTAACAGAAATGAAGTTGTACAAAACCATTCCATTGATAATAAAGCTAATTTTTATGGGTCTGACAAGTATGTAATTATGTTCAGTGGTGCTTTTCAGATTTTATCACAGTCAATAAACCGCAGTGGTAATTTCATTCCCATTTGACATATTTACATGGAAACATTTGATTGGAGGAATTAGTAACCCTGAAAGCCTTGATAGATATGTTTTAATGATCTGTGACCTCCGCAGTCCCTCATCTGTTCATTGTTGCAACAGGCGAGAAGTCGTTCCTGTGTGACCTCTGTGGCTTCGCTGGCGGGACCCGGCACGCTCTCACCAAGCACCGGCGACAGCACACAGGTAAGTAGCTCTGGCGTCATCTGCCTGCCCGCCCACTGTCCTGTTGGGGACCCCAGCCCCGAGCTTGGATAGCCGGGCACAAACGCACGACAAGACCCATGTGCTTGCGTGTCACGGCATTAGTTCTATTGGAGCAGCATGAGTCCCGTGATCTTTGCATGGCCTCAGAGTAGGCTTCGGTGTCTTCACAGCAAGTCAGAGAAGAGGATGTGGCTCCCACAGTCCAGACTGGGGGATGATTTCCTCCAAAGGGGAGCTGTTGCCTCTGGGTGTCCTGGCCCAGAGCTGGGGAGTCCTTCCCTTCTCGGTCTCCCAGTCCACCCCCTCCGCTCTCCTACGTACCTTCCTACTGTCCACCCCCACTCTGCACACCCACCTTCCACTCCTCTGTCCAGCCTGCTTACTGTCAGTGTGGCTTAACAGAGCTGGCCATACTTCAGTGCTGTTGAGTTACCCTTGCCACTTAGAATTGATGGCAACCAAGAAGGGCTGCTCCAGGTGGCTGGGGGCACCGAGGCGACCCACCCTGGCATTCTTGGGTTGCAAAACGGAGGTTTAACACTTGGCACTAGCCATGACCGGCTTTATACAATTGTAGGATGCCTTCTGAGTCACCACGTGACTAACCCTAAATGATAGGTGCTTGGTACTGTACTGCCCTGGTTTGGGCCTTTTGCCTCTTCTGATTATAATAGCACTGCCCTTTCGCTCAAAAAGGTTTAGTTGGTAACTCATGTGCTAGCACTGTTTGTACCTAATCATTTCTTGGGGTAATATGAGAATGATTAGGTTTGGCAGTGTAACATTAAATTGCATGAAATAGGTTGCTTTACGGTACATTTTGCTCAATGCTTGATGTACTATACTTAATAGTTAGATACAGGTACCTTTAATGCCCAATATGGCATTTAAAAGATCAATGAAAAATACGGCACGATCTTGTTAGCTCTCAAGTCTATGTGATTCAAATTTCCATTTGAGTTAAGGGTTATACTAGACATCCAAGGGAAATTCCCAGGTGTACTATAACTCTAGAAACATAATTTTAATTTTGAAAACATAAAATTCCATCGTTTTACCTCATGCATTCAGATCCAGACTCTGGGATGGCTTCGGGTGGAAGTGTTTGCGTGGGCTTGGCATTCAGCTGAGGGGGCTCCACACTGTTGCAAACCACTTGCTGTGGGGCAGGCCTTGGGCACATACCGGGAGGCTCCAAGAGGCCATTGTGTCTTCAGCGCCATCTCTGCCCATGCGGACTGCCCTTTCTGTCACAGGGAGCCGTGGTGACAGGAACGCCAGATGATGGTGTTGGCCACCTAGCAGTCCAGAGTGTGTTTGAGGACATTCCCGAGGCTCCTCTTCACTGTGCTGCTCACGGGGTCCCATAGAGGGAGCCACGTGGCCTTGTGGTGAATCACTCTGCTGTTGTTGAGTGGCCGGGAGTTCAAACACAACCACCACTCCGTGTGAGAAAGATGAGGCAGTCTGCCTCCATTCACGCTGTCACTTGGTTAGAAACACTTGCAGAGGAGAGGTTTGAACACTCGGCACCTGTCATGACCTGTTTTGTACATTTCTAGGATGCCTTCTGAGTCACCACGTGACTGAATCTAAATGATAGGTGGTTGGTATTGGAAACCTGATGGGTAGTTCGACCCTGTTCTCCAGTCTCTGAGAGTCGGAGACCATGACGCCAGTGGGGTGGACTTTGGGTGGTGGTTGTTGCCTCATAGGACAGTGTCATGGAAAACAAAAGTGTCTGTCCCTCGGACTATTATTTTCCTCAGTGGCACACAGTAAAGCTGATTCTTCAAGACAGAAAATGCTTACAGAACACTGCTGGCTTTAAGCAAGCAGCTGCAGCCTCGGCACTCCATCCAGATTTACCGCATTGAAGAGAGAGACACAGTGTTTCTCCAGGGGAGGGTGGCAGGGTGCATTGTGGTCAGTATTTCTCTTGACGTGGCCCTCTGTGGCATGGGTTACCTTTTACCACGGGGCTCCCACGCCATTTTCAATCCCTGATACGGAAGGGAAGCCGTATCAGAAGCGATCTAAACGGTGTAAATAATTCCCAGCTGCAGTGCCGGCTGTCTCGGGGCTGACACAGAGTATCCTCTGTCCCGAGGTTTTCTTTTATCACCTGTCAGGGATCCTTGATTCAAGGGCAGGGGAGCAAATCTTCACGTGTTGTCGATGAGTCTCGGCCAGCTTAGTAAGCACCAGCCAGCCCCAAGGAAGGTCCGGAGCTCAGCTGGCCTGACAGGCTGTTGACACGGAAAGATGCTGTTAGGGACGGTGGTCTTCCCACTGCCCACCACGTTGGTGCTCCTTGGTGCTCAGTTTGGTCACGACCATTCTTCTATATATTGGAAAGTACTGGAAGCAAAACAGTTTAAATGCTCTGCCATCGAGTGACAAGTGTGGGAAACGTAGGCCAATCGGCCGTCTTGTCCCTCACCTGCTTTTTGGAATCGGCAGATGCCACCAGCCAACAGCTTCACCAGCTCTGCCGAGGTGCTGCCAGTCACCCTGGTGGATTGCGTCCGGGTAAGTCATGGAGTTAGTCATCCAGTGGCTTTTTCTGTGACACCGACCGGCAGAAGTGTCCCTGGACCCAAGTCTCCTCCTCATCGCTCACACCCCACACCCACCCCCACCCCCAGAGGGACTTGCCTCCAAGAAGGCAGTTACCCCCAATGGGCGTTCGGCACACGGCGTGCATGTGAAGTTTGTGTGATTTCCTGTCAGAGTGCACCGGCGGGAAGCTGAGTTAACGTCTGTGTGTAGGCTGAGCGCAGCGAGTAGCTTCTGGATTTGTGCAGTGTGCTGCCCTGAAGAGACCCCACGAAATAGCGTGGGAAAGTCCCCTGAAGCGCAGCCTAGACCCAAAGTGGAGGCCAGGCCCTAGTTCCCATGTACAGATTGCATTAAACTGCTGTTGGTACCAATAGTCATGAAAATGTGCCCAGGTCATAAGCCTTCCTTTACTGAATCATTAAATCATTTTATGTTGCATGGTTTTATTATAGCCTGCATTTATTGCCAGACTGTCTATAGCTAAACATTAGTTATATCCCTCAGTTTTGTCTATGTAGTTTGGTTGAGGTAAATATAAAATGATAATTTATAGTTATTATAATATTCTAGTGTGAACTTCAAATTATTAGCAAGACAGAGAATATAAATAGTGTTATTTTTCATTAGGGTATTGTTTTCACGTAGAAATTATGCCAAAAATGCCATACAAGTTTACTAATGAAAGAAACTACCTTGAGAACTTTAAACCACTGAACTCAGAAAACTAGGCTTGGAGATTTCAGATGACCAACGAATTAGACCACGGGATCTGGAAGGTCTCCCGGCTGCATTCTAGAGATTCCTGTCAAATCCCAAAAATCTGGATGGCTTAAAGGGATTTTTTTCAAGCTAAGGTAGTGTCTACTCACGGCCTTTAGTATAAACAAATTAGTGACTTTTGGGTGCTAATGTGTTTTTCAAGTAAGTAGATTAATGAATGGACCAACGTGTCAGACAACATTTGCCAGTTGGCGTGATGGGCGGCACTTAAGTTACTTGATCACTTGGATTGATTTTGCACAAAATTTGAAAAGGAATTTATGTCGATCAATGGAAGAAAATATTTCACAAATACAGCACACATATTTGTCAGTTGTTAATGAGCCCGGTACTGTGTTCAGGGGTACTTGTAACCCAGGATGCTCAGGTCTTCCACAGAGGCAGCTTCGAAGCCCTGCCCTGCGGAAGTATGTGAATTAATCGTGCCCATAGCAGCAGGGTACATCTCAGAACACTGACATTGAGTGACAGGCCAGACAATGGAGTGCAGTTTCCTTTCCCGTAGAAATGTAGAAAGTGCTAATGAATATATGGTGACAGAAGCAGCCAGCAGTTTCTTGAGGCTAGAGTCCGTGGGAAAGAACGAGGCGCGGGCAGCCCTGGGACCGACAGCCATTCCATTGATAGGGTGTAGTGCAGCCATTCCATTGCTAGGGTGTAGTGATAGTTGCATCGCCTGTCAAAACGTCACATACCAAATTCTGCACCTTTTCATGGAGAGGTTGGCCTGGCCAGGGCCTCCGTGAAGAAGTCAAAAATGCATTGCACACCTTTCTTGGTGTCATCGGTGCATTGCCGATACCTGCGTCCACTAGAGAGCTTCCCCTTGTGCTTGTTCGGCTTTCGTTACTGGACTTGAATGGCCAGGTTAGCCCCTGCAAGCTAAGGTGTGAATAAAGCCAGCGAGGGTTGCACATGGGTGTTTGTGTGGCTGTTTATATGTTGCCATGGTACATCCTACTTCTCTGTCCACTTGGAAGAGCTTCAGCTTTGTTCCTTTTTACCCGGAGGTAATTACAAAGACCATTGATGGTCCCTCAGATCAAGCAAAGCATGGAGCCTTAATGGGAGGATCTCTGTCTCTGCTCAGTACCTTCGCAGTGAATATAGCAATGTCAGCGACGTGGCCAGGGGTTCAGAACCCTGAGAGCCCAGAAGCTGTTCAGGCTGCCCTGAGAGTGTGCCTTGTCTCAAGGGCAGATGACTAAAGGAGCTAGAGAGCCCTTCAGGTTCTGTAATGGTTGCTCTCCTCTTCGTATAAGTAATCTCCTTGAAAGAATGAGACGGACGGAACTATTTTTTGGTAGGAACTGCTACCTGATACCTTGATATCATGTTGACTCTGTGCAAAGCCATTAATTATTTCACACGTGTGAGATGTTTCTCTTCACACTGCTTACTTGCTCCTGATGCGAACGTCCATGGGCTGCTTTCCTCGCTGAAGAGACTTGTGTGCACGCATCACTCTTCCGGCAGGTCTGTCATAGGAACGATCAGACGACCACATCTGAGCCCTGCAAAGCCTTTGGCATGTTCTCTGTCCACTGTAATCGTCTCAAGTACCCCACCTGAGTGGCAGCTTGAGCCTCCTGGTCTTGCTCAAGAGCCCCAGCAGGTCGCCTGGCGAGCAGCTGACA